ACCAGGTATGAACTTTGGGGTGCATGTATCTTTTCGAATTAAAAGTTTCACTTTTTCCAGATACATGTACATACAAGAGTGGAGTTGCTGGATCATATGGTAGTTCTATTTTTAGTTTTTTAAGGAACCTCCATACTGGCTGCCCCAATTTATATTCCCATCAAAAATGTAAGAGGATTCTCTTTTCTCCACATCCTCTCCAGGGTTCACTATTTGTAGACTTTTTGATGATGGCCCTTCTGACTGGTGTGAGGTGATACCTCATTGTAGTTTTGATTTGCATTTCTCTAATTATCAGTGATGTTGAGCATCTTTTCAAGTGCCTGTTGGCCATCTATATATTTTCTTTGGAAAAAATCTATTTAGGTTTTCTGCCCAGTTTTTGATTAGATTGTTTGGGGGTTTTTTGATATTGAGTTATATGGGCTGTTTGTATGTTTTAGATAGTAACCACTTGTTGGTCACATCATTTGCAAGTATTTTCTCTCATTCTATATGTTATGTTTTTGCCTTGTTGATGGTTTCCTTTTCTGTGCAAAAACTTTTAAGTGTGCTTAGGTCGTATTTATTTTTGCTTTTATTTCTTTTGCCTTGAGACTGATCTAAAAATATATTGCTGCAGTGTATGTCAAAGAATGTTTCACCTATGTTCTCTTTTAGATGTTTCATGGTATCATGTCTCACATTTAGATCTTTAAACCATTTTGAGTTTATTTTTGTATATAGTGTGAGAGAATGTTCTAATTTCATTGTTTTACTTGTTCGTAGATTAATTGACTGTAGTTGCATGAATTCATTTCTGGGGTCTCTATTCTGTTCTGTTGATCTATGTGTCTGTTTTTGTGTCAGTACCAGGCTGTTTTGATTTCTATAGCTTTGTAGTATAGTCTGAAATCTGGAAGGGTTATACCTCCAGCTTTGCTCTTTTTTTCTCAGGATTGCTTTGGCTATTATTATTATTTTGCTAAAGAGTTGTATGATGTCCTCATATATTTTGGACATTAATTCCTTATCAGATATGTGGTTTGCAAACATTTTCTCCCATTCCTAGGTTGCCCTTTCATTTTGCTGATTATTTCTTTATTTCTGTGCAGAAGCTTTTTAGTTTGATGTAGTCCCACTTACTTATTTCTTATTCTGTTGTTTGTGCTTTAGTGATAGAGCCAAAAAAATCATTACCAAGACCCATGACAAGAAGCTTTTCCCTGCTTTCATCTAGGAGCTTTATGGTTTCAGGTCTTTCATTTAAGTATTTAATCCATTTCAAGTTGATTGTTGTGAGTGGTATAAGATAGGGGTCTAGTTTCATTTTTTGCAAATAAATATCCAGTTTCAGGGCACCATTTATTGAAGACACTGTCTTTTCTTCACAGAATTTTTTTTTGGCTCCTCTGTCAAATATTAGTTGACTGTGTATGCATGAGTTCATTTCTGGGCTCTTGATTCTGTTCCATTGGTCTGTGTGTCTATTTTTATGGCAGTTCCATGCTGTTATGATTATTATAGCTTTGTAATATGGTTTGAAACCAAGAAATACGATACTCCCAGCATATGTCTTGTCTTAGTATTGCTTTGGCTATTCAGGGAATTTTGTGGCCCCATATGAATTTTTACTTTTTTTTCTATTTCTGTAAAATTACCCTTGAATTCTTGATAAGGATTCCACTGAATGTATAGATGGCTTTGGGTAGTATGGATATTTTAACAATATTAATTCTTCCAATCCATGAAGATCAAATATCTTTCCAATTGTTTGTTCAACTTCCTTCATCAATGTCTTACAGTTTTTAGGGTAAAGATGTTTCACCTCTTGGTTAAATTTATTCCTAAGTATTTTGTTTTTGATGCTGTTGTCAATGGGATTGCTTTATTTCTTTTTCAGATAATTCATTTTTAGTATATGCTACTAATTTTTGCATGTTGGTTTTGTATCCTGCAACTTTACTGAATTTGTTGATTAGATCTAACACTTTTTTGTTGGCGTCTTTAGGATTTTCTACATATAAAACCATCTGTAGCGGGAGGGTATTGCTCAGTGGTAGAGTGCATACCTAACATGTATGAGGCCCTGGGTTCAATCCCCAGTACCTCTACTAAATAAATAAGATAAAGTAAAAAATTAAAAATACATCTGTAAATAGAGACAGTTTTGCTTCTTCCTTTCCATTTTTGATGCCGTTTATTTCTTTCTCTTGCCTGATTGTTCTGGTTAGCACTTCCAGTACTGTGTTCAATAGAGGTGGCCCAAGTGGGCACCTTTGTCCTATTCCTGATCTTAGAGGAAAAGCTCCAACTTTTCACCATTGAGTATGAATGTTAGCTGTAGGCTTGTCATATATGGCCTTTATTATGGTGAAGAAGTTTCCTTCTATCCCTAATTTGGTGAGAGTTTTTATCATGAATGGATGTTGCATGTTGTCAAATGCTTTTTCTACATGTATTGAAATGATCATATGATTTTTATCTTTCATTCTTTTAATGTGATGTGTTACATGTATTATTGATTTGTGTATGTTGAACCATCTTTGTATCCCAGGGATGAATTCCTCATGATCGTGGCATATGATCCTTTATTGTGCTGCTGAATTTGGTTTGTTAGTGTGGTGAGAAATTTTGCATTTGTATTCATCAGGAATATTGCCTGTAGTTTTCTTTTCTTGTAGTATCCTTCTCTGGCTTTCATATCAGGGTAATTTTGGCCTCATAAAATGGGTTTGGAAGTGTTCCCTCCTCTTCTATTTCTTGGAAGAGTTTGAGGATTGACATTAATTCCCCTTTAAATGTTTGGTGGAATTCACCAGTGAATCTGTCTTGTCCTGGCCTTTTCTTTGTTGGGATGTTTTTAATTACTGATTCAATATCCTTACTAATTATTGATCTGCTGAGATTTTTTATTGTTTCTGATTCAGTTTAGGTAGGTTGTATGTTTCTAGGAATGTATCCATTTCTTCTACATTGTCCAGTTTGTTGGTATTTAGTTGTTCCTAGTAGTCTCTTATAATCCCTTGTATTTCTGTAGTATCAGTTGCTATGTTTGTTTCCTCTTTCATTTATGATTTCACATTGATTTTTGTTCTCTCTCTTTCTTGGTAGTCTAACTAAAGGTTTGTCAATTTTGTTTATCATTTCAAAGAACCAATTCATTTTCATTGCTCTTTTCTATTGTTTTTATTTTCTCTGTTTTGTTTATTTATGCTGTAATCTTTGTTACTCCTTTCTTCTATTAACTTTGAGCTTTGTTTTTCTTTTCCTTGTTTCTTTAGGGGTAAAGCTAAGTTTTTTATTTGAGGTCTATTTTATTGATGTATATGTTTATATCTATTAGCTTTCTTCTTTGAATGCTTTTGCTGCATCGCATTGGTTTTGGTATGTTGTGTCTCCATTGTCATTTGTCTCAAGATACTTTTAATTTTTCTGTTAACTTCTTCTTTGATCCATTGGTTATTCAAGAGTATGCTGTTTAATTTCCATGTATTTGTGAGTTTCCAGTTTTCCTCCCATTACTGGTATCTAGTTTTCATACCATTATGATCAGTGAAGATATTTGGTATATTTTCAGTGTTCTTAAATTTGCTAAGACTTGTGGCCTAATGTATGATTTATTGTAGAAAACGCTCCACGTGTACTTGAGAAGAGTGTGTTTTCTGTTGCTGTTATTGTTGGATGGATTGGTTAGGTTGTCTGTTAGGTCCATTTGGTCTATAGTGCTGTTTGAAACAGCAATTCAAATCTACTGTCTCTTTATTGATTCTCTATCTGGTTGATCTATCCATTGTTGAGAGTAGGGTGTTAAAATTCCCAACTATTATTATACTGATGTGTATTTCTCCTTTTAGTTCTCTTAGTTCTATTAGTATTTAGATCCTCTGATATTGGGTGCATAAAATTTATAATTTCTACGTCTTCTTGATTGATTGACTCCTTTATCATTATATAATAACCCTTATGTCTCTTCTGATCAATTTTAGCTTAAAGTCTAAAATGGCTAAAATTTTAGCCTGAAGTTTTTTTTTTTATGATTTATTCTTTTAATGAAGGGACTGGGAATTGAACCCAGGACCTTGTGCATGCTAAGCACACTTTCTACCACTGAGCTATACCCTCCCCCCACAGCCTAAAGTCTTATATAACTTTAGTCTAAAAGTCATATAAGAATATATGGATATGCCACATTTTGTTTATCCATTCACAGCTGGTATTATCTTTGTTCAGGTGGGGCATACAAAGCTTTCACGTGCTCAGAAAATCATGAGGAATTACTTTCACTGTATTCTGTTGGTAACACAGGGCCAGGCCATAATGACTGTGAAACAGAACTATACAAAGACATACAGTTAACTCTCATTATTTGTAGTAGTTAAATTCCATAAAGTCACCTTAAACATTGAATTAGTGAATACTGAATCATTGCTCCTAGGGGAAATACAAGATCGGGTTCCTGCAATCCTCTGATCACAACATTTTTCTCGATTCATTAATTCATCACCTATTTTTATGTTTGTTTCCATTTAAAGACACCTTATTTGCTATATATTGTTGATTCACTAACACTGAACTAATGGCCAATGGCACTGTAACTCATGCCTGAACAGAGCTTATCTAATACACATACTTTCTCCATAAGACAGTCACAGACTTCTTGTGCTTTGTAATACCAGACAGCAGCACTTCAGCACTCTTCTTGGGGACTCCAAATAAACTAATAAAGGTAACCACTTATCTACTTTTAGTCTCCATAGATTTACCTTTTCTGTCATTTTGTATAAATATAATCATATCACCTATAGTGTTTTCTAACACCACTTCTGACACTAAGTACATGGGTTCTTTTTCCCCACAGTAACCAATTCTCCAGCTTCCTGAACACTGGCTGTGTGTTCTACAATTCAATTCAGTTCTGACACTAACTACCTGTAGATTAAGGACTTAGCCCCACAAGACTGCCCCAGCTAAAGATAACTGTTGCAAGTCCTAGGTTGCCACCTGTACTTCTGACCAACCCACTATAAATCAGGAGTTGCCACGATCCCCTCCTTAGTTTCAATAATTTGCTAGAACAGGTTACAGGACTCAGGAAAACACATTACTTACTATTACCAGTTTATTATGAGAGGCTACAACTCAGTAACAGCTAAATGGAAGAGATGCATAGGTCAAGGCACAGGGCTGGGGACACAAGACTTCCATTCGCTCTTGGCATACAACCCTCCCAGCACCTCAGTGTGTTCACAAACCTGGAAGCTCTCCAAACTCCATCATTTAGGGGTTTTTAGGGAGGTTCCATTAGATAGGGATGGTTGATTCAATCATTGCCCATAAGTGACTGAACTCAGCCTTCAGACCCTCTCTCTTTCCAGGGTCCAGAGTCTTATTGTTTCATTGGTCAGTATACCTCCACAAATAATATACCGCAGTCTTGGTTCTTGATTGTTAATTTTGGCTTCTGTTGACAAAAACAAATGAACAAACAAAACAGAAACAGTAAAGTTTGTTTTGCTGTATTAGGGTAGAAAATAAAAAAAATAAATTTTCCTTCTCTAGTTTACCTAAAAATATTAAACTACATGTGTATTCTTTTAAGGCAGTTAAAAACTTAAATGATTATAAAAGTGCAAGCAGCTTAACCACGTGGTTGTGACACAGAATCTCTCATGAGGAGGTGGCAGTCAAGCTGTCAGCAGGGCTGTAGCCATCTGACTTGACTAGAGCTGGAGAATATGCTTCCAAGGTGACTCACTCACATGGCTGTTGGCAGGAGGTCCTGGCTCCTCGCTTCATGGCTTATCCACAGGGATGTTTGTGTGTCCTCATGACATATCAGCAGATTCCCTCCAGATCAAGTGATCTAAGAGAGAGACAAGAGTAGAGTTGTGAGCTCGTTCACGACCAAGTCTCAGAAGCCACAAGCCATCCTGCCTGCTATATTATACCTATTTATTAGAAGTGAGTTAACAAACCCAGTCCACACTCAAGGAGAAGGGAATTAAGCTCCACCTCTTAAGAGAGATGTGTCAAAGACTTTGTGGACATCTTTTAAAGCCACCACAGTGACTGATGGCAGGAAGCCTCAGTTCCTCAGGATGTGGGCTTCTCCACTGGACTGCTTGAGTGTCCTTATGACATGGCAGCTGGCCCTCCACAGAGCAGGTGACCCAAGAGAGAACAAGAAGGAATCTACAATATCTCTGATGGCCTAACTTCAAAAGTTACCCTCTGTCATTTCTGCAGTATCCTATTGGTTACACAGGTCGGCCTCATTCAGGGTGAGAACAGACTAAATGAGGGCATGTATCCCAGGAAGCAGGAATCAGTGGGAGCCATCCTAGATGGCTCACAGGTACCCAAAGGAAAGTAATAGTTAGTTCTGTCAGGGCATGCTGGGGAGGTCTCCACAAAGGAAATGACATAGAGATAGGCTTTTGGGGTCCCACAGACCCTGAGAAAAATGAGGAGGATCAGTAAAGGTCATCTAGTTCTATCCTTGACTTGAAGACAGAAGGAACATAAGAACCAGGACAGGTGCCAGAGGAGTCTGCTTTCCACTGGCTTTTGATGCTCTTTCTAACTTTGCTTGCTATCTTTCATGTGAGCTGCTGAAATGGCTGGAGGTGCTCTAGTCTCACAATATGCAATTACACCAGGCAGGAGCTTCTGTAATAATAGGTATTAAGTACTTGATGAACCAAAATGGCTATTCAAAGCCACTTTTTGTTCTCTCTTGTAACTAGGTCATGAGCTTCCTCGAGTGATTGGGAGAAATGAGCTGTAGCAGCCTCCACCTCTACGCTTGTCATTGTTTTAACATTCAGAACACAGTCTCTACCAAGGAGCCTTTTAAAGCTTTTACATTTTTGATGGGAGAGACCAGGAACAGTGGGAAGCTCAGCAGATCCTTAAAATATAAAATTCCCCATTTCTTTCAGAAAACCAAAAATAATTCCTGAGTTATAAATTAGAGGTCTTTGCTCATCCTTGGTTTTTTTTTCCCCCTCAAAAGCTTTGGCATCATCACAGTGCTGCAAATGTGGTCATTTCCTGTGTATTCTTTTTATTTTGTTATGAACTTTACATATTTCCACAAATAAAGAGTCTACCAACAACAACAACAAAAAAAATAAATGCAAAGAACTGTCCATGTAAAGAGAAATAGGGTGAGAATCTTCCTCTTTGGCCAGAAAGACAACTTTCTTCTCCTCCTGCGAGGCTAATAACACACTGGGTCAGGGAGCATTCATTGCAGAAAAGCCACAGGCTCCGAGTGACTCAAGGGGGCCAGCCCTCCTTTACAGCTGGGTACCTCTGGACAGTCCAAGACAGGCACCAGCCTTAGGTGAGCTCTGAACTCAGCCCACTGGCCTTCCCTGGATGAGAGGGGCCTCCAGGCATGACCCACGCCTTATTTTGCCTCCTTTGCTTTCTCCTCCTATAGTAGTAATACTATTTATTGGGCAACTGCTCTGTGCCTGCACTTTACATTTTTTGTCCTTCTTCCTTCTCAAACCCTGAGTCACATTTTACAGTTAAGTGCAGAGACTATATTAAGGATATTTCTTTTTAAACAATAAATTTATAAATTTATGTATAGTACAAGGAACTGTATTCAATATCTTGTAACAGCCTATAATAGAAAAGATTATGAAAAGGAATGTATGTATGCGTGTATATAACTGAAACATGCTGTGCACCAGAAATTGATACAACATTGTAAACTGACTATACTTCAATTAAAAAAAGAAAAAGAAAGATAAAAAAGAATATTTCTTTTGCTGAAATGGAAAACCCAAACTCAAAATGGCATAAGCAACAAGAGTATTTATTGACTCATGTAACCAAAAAAGCCAAGTATATGGTGGGCTTCAGGCACAGCTGGATCAATGTACTCATGTGCACCATTAGGCTACATTTCTCTCTCTGCCTCCTGTTTCTGTACCCTCTTCAGGCAAGTTCTTCCTGGTGTTGGGGAGATGGCTAAGACAACCAAAGGTGCTACATTTCATTAAGTGTGGCAGCTGTGGGCATGCTTCATTTGGATCTCCCTTCTAAAAGAACTTGCCATTCAGCTCCAAGGAGCACCTTTAGCTGGCAGCCTCCAGTTATACCACCTTCAGGATCCATGTCCTTCCTGATCAACAACCAGCCAATAACTGGCCATGGAGAGGGGTACTAGGGCCTGGTCACTTCTGCCCAATGCGTGACTCCTCTGGGTGGGCAGTCTTTGCTGCAGAGCTCCCATGGAGTAGGCTGAGAACATCAGATCTGATTGTGTTCTGCAGCTCCCCTTTATCTTTCACACGTGTTACCCTTTCCCCTATATAAACCTCTTGTACCCGAAACTCCATCTCAGTGTCTACCTCCTTCAGGAGTCAATTGAACTGTCATTTCTCACTGGCTTCCATCCCCACTTGAAGCAGATGTTCTTACTCACCCAGACCCCTTTGGACCCCTTTTGACTGATTTTCAGTGTGCTCTTCTAACAGCCAGTGCTTTTAGCCGTGCGCAGGTAGTGCTCTCAGAGCCCCAGAGGGTGAACCCCACTGAACATTCAGAAGGGCCAGGGTCCAGTTTACTCTCCAACTCCCTCTTCTCCCCCAAATCTGACCAGTGACTGGCGGGTCAAGAGTCTCAATGCCAACCTTCCTTGCCTCCAGGCAGAACTTCTGAGACATAACCTACCCTCCAGAGTTCCTCTGTGGGCTCAGACTTAAAGCCACCCTCCACCAGACTCTGCCTGAGATCACACCTTGCCTGGCCTTGTCACCTTCTCTGCCCTGCTTCTCCCCCTCCACTTCCCATCCGCCCCAGCACACTTCCTTAATGAATCACTTACAAAGGAATCATCCGCAGGTGTGCTTTTTAAGCACCTAACCAAGAACCAGCAGCTGGGGCCACAGCACCCATCAAATGGCTCTCTCTCTCCTATGGAACAGTCCCACTGGGTCCTCTCCCTGTTCTTGCTTCATTAGGTCTATGGGTGGTAAGTGCTTCCTATTATCACTAACTCTAGAGTCCCTCTCTGATCCTTGATTGTTTTCCCTGGACCCCTTTCCACTCCTTTGTGGGTAGCCCTTTCATTAAACTCTTCCCCAGTCACCCCTTGGGAGGATGCTACCTATTTCCTGCCAGAACCCTGAATCATAAATATAGGCTTTTAAAAATATTATCTGTTTCTTAACGTATAAAATTCATAGTGCCCTAGAGACTTGGAATGAGACAAGTTTAACGTTATGGAATGATTGCCCTTTTATCTCATCCAGTCAGTTTGCCTCTGGGACTGTATGTGTAATAAGCTAAATTAGAGATGATGTCGAAAGTCTGATTTTGAGGCTTCCTGATGGGAAGGCAGAGGTAATGAATGAATGACCTCCTACCTCCATTTACCCCTCAAAAGTCTCTCCAGTTGGAAACAGCCAGTAAACAACTTGCAGAAAGTGGCATTTGGCGCTAGATGGCAGTCATGCCCACCAGTGCTGCTGCTCGTAGAAGCCATCGACAGTTCCCGCTTGCCTGACCCTGCAGATTCATTATTCACAGTCCAGCAAAAGCTGGTTTGCTGCCAGCTCTCCACTCTTAAATCAGGGTTGTTGCACATTCCTTCAATGTAGAAGAAGCTTGTGGTTTTCCAGCACCTTGGGTACCTGGGCCTCCCTGCCCTGCCAGGGCCTGGGAAGGTTCCTATTATTATCTGCTTCTACAGGCTCTCCCTCAGTACATCTGTTGCTAGACACTCAAACACCGATGCAGACCCAAGGGTCTAGGTCTCTGGGGAAGAGGCTGTAGAATATAGACGCTTAGGGGGAATCCCTCCTGGTGCAGGAAATACTGGTGTGTTTGGGCTGCCCCTCCCCCTGGCTAAAGGACCTCCACAATTGCTTTAGCTGGCCTCCCCCAACCCCCTTGGATTTAGCAAATGAGTGACATTAGTTAAAATCATTGTACTAATAGAGACACTTTAAGTTGCAAGTAACTGAAGCCCTGTGAAAAATGAGCTTAAGCCAAGTAAAAAGATGGAAGAATTGTTCAGTAGCCTTCAAGAGCCATGTATAGGGGAATTTAGACACAACTATATCCACATGTGTTTCAGGCATGTCTGGATCCAGCTGCTGAAAGAAAATTGTCAGTAATCTATCTGCCTCCATCCATCTCTTCCTTCTCTCTTGAGCACAAATGCCCAAGTGCTGAAAGAAAGAAATGTTTTTCTTCATAGTTCTTTCAAGATCCCTACACTAATCACACAGGTGGAGTTCTGGGAGATGACATACCTAATTTGATTAGGTCAAATGCCCATTGCTAGAAAGAAGCATAGGTCAGGAAGAGAACAAGGAAGGTTTGAATTCCCAAGGATAAAAAAAAAATCAAGTTATTATCACCTGAAGAAAAGACACAGTGATAAGCCGAGTCAGCAGATGCCCACGGTGACCAGGCAGCTGCATTTACCCTTTCCTCTTCCTTTCACTCACGTATCTATTGACTCACCCAGTGCACCCAGGGGCTCCCTCCTGATAGCACTTCCAGCTCTCCCTCTCCATTCCTACCGAGGTAAAAGTCCTGCTTATTCAAGGACTCCTACCCCACAGTCTCCTAACATCCTGTGCTTTTCTTTCAAAGCAGTGAACAGTCCAAGATTATGTAGTGACATAAGTGATTATTAACCCAGTGTGTATCTTTCCTCTAGATTATAATCTTCAAAGAGACAAGACTTTGGTGTCCCCAGAGCCTAACGCAGTGACTGACACATGGTAGGTACTTGGCAAACATGTGATCATTCATTCATTTGATACTTATCTGTTAGACCCCAGGGACAGTAGGTCCAATCAGACAGGGTCCCTGCCTCGCTTCTACCTTAGT